GACAAGCAAAGTCAATGGGGAAGTCAGATTCACTTACTAATTTAACAGCAGCAGTGATTCACATAACAACCACGGCAAGAAAGGTTGTAAAATGGGGGAAAATTTACTTAACAACTGTCTCGTTTAGTAACAGGAATTTTGGACCCAATTGTGGCTATAAGTCAAGGACTACCGACATATACAGTACACATAAGTTCTAATGAGAAACAAAGCTCCAAAATCTTTCTATGCTTTAACTGGTTTCTTTAAAATATTTAAAATAATCTTCATCATAATAAATTTTCTTTATATCTGGTAGCGACAGAAGAATATTACTTACAGAATGCTGTGTATGCTTCTGCTTCACTAATTCTCTATTTGTTATCAATTGGTGATTTAGCACTAGCTCATATTTCTTTTTTTTAATTTTTAGATCCTCCAAGAGAAAATGGTCAGCCATCACATTTACTGACTTCAGTGCTGATCCTGATTTTAGTGTTCATAATTTTAATCATTTTAGCTGGCTATTTCTTTAGGTATGTATGAATCAGAGTCTTGATATGGAACTAGTTGTTTCTTGTTACCATGTGATCTCATAAGGAAATGAAAGTTGCACAGTGCAGCTGTGCTGTCTAGTTTCCCACATTAATCAGTGTTGTGGATGGAGGATGTTACACACCGTTTCTGTGCATCAACTACAATATAACATAACTGGGGAAAAAATGATTAGAAGAACCTTTTCCAGAATTACTTGGTTTGTGAGCTACAATATAGAATATTTTTTGTAACTTATTTAGTCTCACGAGACCTATTCTGTGGTCTTCTAAATGCTTCTTATATTTATTAAGGTTCCGAAGACACAGGAAAGCGGTTGTAAATTCCACTGATAAAAAAATGCCAAATGGAATCTTAGAAGAGCAAGGTAATTATTTCTTTACTTAATTGTATATAAAGATGTACTTCTTTTTATAATGTAATGTTGAAAGGGGAAACAAATAGATTTCACAGGATTGGTTATTCAATTGTTAGTGTATTTGAGAACTGTTCCTTTTTAGAGAAGATTTGTTCACATATTGTGTTCACATATTTTTGTTCACATATTAATGTTTGCATTTACAGTATATTACAATTTCATTCAGAAAGATCTTTTTTGAAACATTGCATTAAGTTATGTCAGGAGTTCCATTTAAATATGTGTTAGATGTAGAACTAATTTTATATGTAAATTTTCATGGAATCAATTTTGAACTACATGAATAATTATTTTAAATAAGTAATTAAATGACAAACATGATAAACACAACTGTAAAAAATATGAATTAACATGTAAAGGAGGAAGGTCAAAAGAAATTTGATTTAGTTTCTGTAAGTGCTGAACACCCACATAACTTCATCATGTAAACAGTACAGTACAATAACACATACCTTTCTTGCATTAACAGTTTCAGTAGTTTAAGACATTCCTTTTGTAAACCCAAAATAAGAAAACTTTCCAAATCATTCTTCTGATTTATCATTTGTATGCGCTCTTTAGTTATTGAGACATTAGCTGGTTTCAGATGTAAATCTATTATAGAATTCTTTTCTACATCAGAATCCATTTTTCAGAAAAAAAAAAAGTATTTGAAAAGACTGTAAAGCTAGTAATTCTTGTGAAGTTTTCCATTTATGTTTAGCTGTACAGACGTGGTCTTAATTTGCTTTTTGACTATGCATATAGTACAGACAGCTGGATTATTGCAATGCACACTATGTAGGACTACCCTTGAAAAGTATCTGGAAGCTTTAACTACTACAGAATGAAGCCGTGTAAGTCATATTGGGTGCCCAATGAAGGGAACACCCTTGCTCCATGAACTGCACTGGGTGCTAGTTTGCTTCAGGTATAGTTCAAGGTGTTGATCATTACCTGGCATAGGCACCAGGCTACCTATAGAACTTACTTCACTGCATCAAATCAGCTCATCCCACTCAATCAAACATGGGGGGTACTGCAGACACATCAGTCAAAGAATTTTGGCTAGTTGGATCTGGGAAGAGAGCCTTCTCTGACATTACCACTGCATTATAGAACATCTGCCCCCAGAGGTGAGGCCATGCCATATCCTTCTGGCCTTCTGCAAAGGAGTCAAAACTTGGCTCCATGGCTTTGCCAGGGGAGGCACAGAAGACCATGCATCCATGTGGCTGACTGGCCTCATGAGAGCCCCCCGTCTGTATTATCTAATGCTGTGGCCATCTTGGATTTTTTTTTCCTGTTTGAAATTTTATAATGCCATAATCTTATAATTAAAAATTATCTTAAATTAATTTTAACATTTTAATGTTAATTTTATATATTGCCTATAGGTTGATTAGACTGGACACAATCCAGAGTCCTCCTCTGAGAGAGGTGGGTGGTTTAGAAATATGAAATATAAATACATAAACACATACTGTGTGCTTTCATCTCCTTTTCACAGAACAGCAGAGGGTGATGCTTCTCAGACAGTCTCCTTCTGGCCCAAAGAAGTATTTTCCTATTCCAGTAGAGCTCCTGGAAGAAGAAATCCGGATAAGAGCAGCTGATGACGGGAAGTTATTTCGGGAAGAGTTTAATGTAAGTTGCCCTTATTTTGTTACTTCATTTTGGTCTTCTTAAATGAAAGATTGCAAATAAAGTGAATGAATTTTTAAGGGAACAATAACAATTGCTTTTGTATTTATAAGGTTTCATGCTTTGGGGTTGTTCAGATATTGTATGGTCCTATGCTGTGTAAACTCTTATTAATACTATTATTATTAACAAAATCAGAGTTTAAAGGGGTCTCTGCCTTTTTTGGGGGGGAGGGGGGAATGAGATTTCCAATCCTATATCTTGCTGCTATTCAGCTAAGTCAGGGTGTCAAACTCGCGTCGTCATGGCATTGTCATGTGTTGTATTGGGACTTTTTTCCCCTTCACTAAACCAGGCACGGGCGTGGCCAGCACGTAACACATACAGCCCATAGGCCGTGAGTTAAGTGGCAAATTCATTAGCATTTTCCATGTTTTACTTTATCATGAGTAATAATCTATATTATTACTATCCATAATAATATCTGATGCCTGACACCCAGAAATTCTTACATCTTACAGAATCCTTAAGTTTTAGTTTTGGGAATTAGGATTATGTAAACTTCATAACGATTCCAAAACATTTAAAACCAGGTGACAAAGGAATGATCATATACTAAAATAATATTGAAATATAACTGCTTCTTCCTTAATGTGTTATTTGGACCCAAACATTTTGGTTTTAAAACCATGGTTTAAATCTTAAACCTAATCTTTGTGGTTTATTTCAGTAAAACAGGGATGTTAGCTCTTATGTGGTTAGTCTCTTCTGTATGTTGCTTCTTTCATACTTACAGATCCTTATTCTTTCCAGAATTATAAACTCTGCCTTTTAAAAGCCATCCAGTTTTTAATGCTGTGGCAGAATATTTGATAACTACCATCCCTAGCTAGAGACGCCAACAGCAAGCAATTGTAAGAGTTATGATCAAAAACATCTGGAAGGCAATAGTACTTTTGCTTTCTTCTAGGATTTTTTTTAAAGAAAAACATGGTTAGTAAGTACTTTTTAAAGACACCTAATGGAGAAGAAAGATAATCATAAAAGCTATCCCATTTCAATTTTCCTCTCATGGAGACTGGAAATAGTGAGGTTGAAGACCCAAAAATCTCAAGGACACCAAGTTAAGAAGGATTGATTTAAAACTTTCTAAATATAGTATCTCACTTCAGAGGTCAGAATATATTTTTTGCTTCCTGTTGCATTGTGGTTGCATTGGTTGTGGGGCTGGCGAATAGCTGATAGATAATCTCTCTCTGGCTTCTGAAGACCAGTTGCATTAAAATGAACTTACCTTCAGTTCTGGTTGGGTTTCAGCAGTTCTCTGAGGTAGCTATGATGTTGACATGTTTACATTCATTTTAAGTTTATCTAAGTGAAAAAGTTGCCAATTAAACTGCCAGGCCTGGCTTTGTAATTGCCAGGACTGTATATCAGCAATTACGATTACGTGTTTAAAACTTACCTTTTCAAGTCTGAATTAATCTGGATATATTGAGTCGCATGGTTAAATATGTTAGGAAAAGACAACAATACAAATCTACAATAAAAATGGCCGTGCTTAAAATGGGCATCAAAGTTGATTTTATGCTTGTTCCGTGTTTGTTTCTCAAGAAGCTTTCTGGAGAAATACTGAAATAGAAACAAGTCTTTAAAAAAACCTCCCTTGCCTCACATAACAAAGGGAAGTTCAGTTTCCCAGTTTTACACAATTTGTCTAATTATGCAAAGAAAACAAAAGTTCTCAAAGGGCAAAGTAATTTTTTTAAAAGCTTCCATGAAAACTCACTTTTTACTTTTATTGAAGTGAAATTAAGGAAAACCAGAGTATCAAAATAAGATATAGTATATTTAGTTTATAGTTACTTGTGGTCAGTTTTCAGTTATTTATGTTCCTGTGTGTGTGTATGTGAGGGGGGGAGGGGGAGGGGGGGAGGTGTGATGGTCTGTTAAAAGAAAAAAAAAATTACGAAGCCAAAGCAAGCGAACATATTGAAGCAACAAATATGACACATTTAGAATCTAACCAACACAAGATACTTCCTTATTAGCTAGTAAACATTAATTCTACAGTATTTAGAGTGACTTAAAACATCACCTGATTAAACCCAATGATGATTAAAACCATGATGTATTTATTTATTTATCAATCAAACTCTTAACTGTCCATCTTCCTCACAGAGGGGCTCTACATGTATAAGCTTTGATCCCCTTATTATTTTATTAGGGTTTTCAAGCATCTATATACACCCACTTTTGTTACTGTATTTGTAGTAAGAGCAAAAGGCTGAACTTCCTTCATATTGCAATGATCAATAGAGACAGCTTCTGATCAGTTTAGCAGTAAAGTAAATTATTGTAAGTCTCCATTGACACAGCAATAGCACTCCATTGACACAGCAATAGCACTGAGACTTTTATACTGTTTCACAGTGCTTTACTTCCCTCTCTAAGCAGTTTAGAGTCAGCCTATTGCCCCCAACAATCTGGGTCCTCATTTTACTGACCTCAGAAGGACGGAAGGCTGAATCAACCTTGAGCCGGTGAGGTTCGAACTCCTAGAGTGAGCAGTGAGTTAGCCTACAATATTAACCTAATTTCTTTTAAAATCAGTTGTAGAAATACAAAATTTATTTGTAAATTAACATTTACTCGTTGTAGAAATACAACATACATTCTGCCTAGTCTTAACTTGGACCTGTGCAATTCTAAAGGTATATTCTCTTCCTGTGAGATATATATAATAATAGAGTAAGTAATCATGAGGTGTATTTTATTCCATTAAACAACCAAGAAGTATTTATAGAACCTGATCCTCACCTGCAGTTTATCCTAAGCTCTCGCTGAGCAAAATACCTGTAATTTATAATTAAGATGTCTTACATTTAAAGTTAACACTATCTTGCAGCAGCTTCAAGATGTGCAAAATGTGTAAGGTCAGCTGATATTATTGTGGGTGTCATCTGAGTTGCATTTGGGAAGGAATGGACATGTTAATTCATCCTACCATCACTATCCAGCTTCAGATCAGCTATTTTTTCTCCCAGAATTTGCTGCCTTCAGTTAGCATTTTCTTTCTGAGTCCCTTTCATAACCATTCATACCTCCTCCTTTTTTTTTTTACCATTTTCTCTCCAGGCTTCAACAGAAAGACACCAGAGTTCCATTATTTTATCTCATGAAGAAAATGAACCTGTGAACTCTCTCTCTCTCTCTCTCTCTCTCTCTCTCTCTCTCTCTCTCTCTC